TGTAAAGCTCCCCAGGTGATTCCAATGGGCAACCCAAGTTGAACACCACCCCCTTTCCTACAAAAGCAAGGCCATTCACCAGCAGCATTGGCATTGCCTGGGAGCTTATGAAAAATGTAGAATCTCAGGCCCCTCCCCAGGTCTATGGGCTCAGAACCTGCACTTTAACAAATCCCACCGGGGATTTCTAAGTTCACTGAATTCTGAGAAGTGCTGACGCAAGATCCTTTATCACAATCTCTACATCTGACAGCAACTTTGCAAGGCAGATGTGCCATTCCACAGGCAAGGAAACTGACCCTGAGAGAGGTTAACTTGTTGGCCCAAGGTCACATAGTTGGTGAGCAAGACAGCCAGGATGGGACCCTGGTCTGGTTCCAAAGGCCATACTTCCCACTGCACAATAAAATATATGGCCATGGGGGACCTCTGAGTTTTTGGGTCCTGAGACCCACTGGGCACACTCCACCTTTGAACAAGATTTCACTTCCAGTGTCAAATTCCCTAGAATCCAACCTCATAAACACCAGCATAATTCATGAGGAAATACAAATAGTAAACAAACACGAGGGGGAAGGTTCACTCTCCCTAGCAATCAAAGAAATGCAAATGAGAGCAACATTGAGGAGCCATTTTCTACCTATATAATTAGCAAAAGTTAAAAAAAAGAAAGTTAGCAAAGTTGTTCATACACAGCTGGTGGCAGTACAGATTTATATAACCCTTGAGGAAAGTAATATGGCAACATCCATCAAGAGCCATAACTAATTATGCCCACTGACCCTGGGAATTCACCCTAAGAAAATTATTCAATAGGAGGGGAAAAGCTGTTTGTAGGGAGATGCTCATTGCAACATTTGCTGGGAATACTGGGAACAGCTCAGTATTCATCAGTAAGGGAATGGCTGAGTAAACCGGGGGTACATCCGCTCCTCCAGTGTTATGCAGCCACATAAAATGGTAATTAAGAAGCCCAAGCAGCAAATGTGGGTGACAGAAAGCAGATGCTAAACTGCCCACGTGTACTGTGGTTATTATGATGTAAAAATACAGATGCTTCTTGACTTATGATGGGGCGATGTCCCGATAAACCCATGGTAAGTTGAAACTATTGTAAGTCAAAAGTGTATTTAATGCATATAACCTACTGAACACCATAGCTTAACCTGGCCTACCCTGAATGTGCTCAGAAGACTTACATTAGCCTACACTTGGGCAAAATCACCTCAGTGCCACTGCCCAGCATCACGAAAGAGTATTGTATAGCATGTCGCTAGCCCAGGTAATAGTCAAAATTCAAAATTCAAAGTATGATTTCTACTGAATGCATATTGCTTTCACACCACTGTAAAGTCAAAAAGTTGTAAGTCAAACCATCGTAAGTTGGGGACCGTCTGTATTGTATGTGTAAGGATATGGATAGGGAAGAACTGGGCACCAGGAAGACAACTGGTGTTTCAGGGTGAGAGGACAATGGAAAGACCCCCTCTTATTACTTTCACAATTACAAACCCCAGCAGAATTGGCTCTTTGAAAACAGCTTTGGGGGCTCTCCAGTCAAGGGATCTGATTCTGAGTAGGACATGGAGATACTCCCATTCTTTATCCCTGGGCACAGGGCCACAGCCCAAGATTCCACCCCAAAGCAGGAGCTGGCCGCTCCTCTCCTGTGTGGGGGTGAGGGGCACAGGGGCCATGGGAGACCCGTCCCATCTTACCATGAAGCCTGGGGCACAAGTGCAGCTCCCAGTGATGCTGTGGCAGTCGGCACCATTCTGACAGGCACAAGACAGCTGGCAGCCATCGCCATAGTAGCCAGCGGGGCAGGACTCGTTGCAGTGGTGGCCAGACCAGCCTGGCTGGCAGGTGCAAACTCCAGTTACTGGGTGGCAGCTGAGCAGATGAGAGAGGATGAGAGGACAGTCTGGTCAGGAAAGCAGGCATGTCCCACCCCTGCCCACACCAATCTGGTCTGCCTGGGGTAGCAGGATCAAAGGGCCTCTGAGGCTAAATTGCGTAATGCCTCATTTGTTTGTCAGAAGATCGCAAGATCATGTGGTCTTATTATCCCGAAGACACTGAGGCTCATGGTGGTTATATAATTTGCCTAAAGTCACATAGCAAGGAAGTGGTAAAATCAGGATTAGAATAACAGGTCTCTGGACTCCCGAACAAGTGCTCTTTTCAGTACAAATACACAGAGGCCCAAACAAAAGGCAGCATCTTCAGTCCCTTCCCTTATGGACTATGGAGTCCAGAGTTTCACAAACTTTGCACCCAAGACTGATGCCTGGTATAGAGCAGGCACAAGAGCTTTACCATGAAACCAGTGGCATATCACAGGTATTCAGTGAACATCTGTTAAGTTAAAATGAGACCTCTGAGCAAATGGGGCTTCCCGTCTCTGGCAAAGTCTGCACTGGAGAGTATACTCTCCAGCTGTGCTTTGCCAGGGCTCTTAAGAGTGATGGAGCTTGTCTCCATCCCCTATCTGTCTAGGTCAGAGAAAAGGCCACTTGGCTAAAGGCAGGAACTGCCTGTCATGACCTCTAGACAGAGGGGCAACCTCTGGTTGGCAAAGGTCTGAAGCGACAGCCAATATCTATTCATGATCAGAGGGGATGCGAGATGTGGTGACTGTGCTTCCCAGGGCTTCTGCAGGTGTGTAACTGACCGAAGGCCCAGCTGCTCTGTCTGAAATCCATCACTGCATTTGCCCAGAGGCCACACTTTCCCCGAGCTGTTCCCAGCTAGAGCACAGTAGGGATGTAAGGTCAGAGCACATTCCTGGGAGGGCTAGGACTCCTCCAATGGCCAATTTTGGTTTAAAGACTTCCTTCCTTACCAAACATTCTTAGAACTGTGCTGCAGTCTAAGACTCTCCACCCAGTCTTCCTCGCTTCCTTCTCGCTTTCACATGGGTCTAATGCTCTCAGCCTACCCAGCTCCCTCCCCATTTCCCTCACAGCTGTCTCCCTAGTAAATCTCTTGCACTTGACATCTCCTTCTGTGAGGACTGAGACTAACACTCTAGAGAAGATGCTGGATGGCAGAGATGAGCCTCTTAGATTCCCTGTTACCTGCCACCTAGCACCAGAGTCAGCTGAAGGGATATGGTTGAAAGAAGCACACTCTGGGCTGGCAGCAGGAGCCTGGGTATGTCTTAGTTCTTCTAAGTTCCACAAGGACATGGGCTTTTTCTACCTGGGTCACAAGAGTGTGCCTGATTCATATTCACAGCCCACTTATAAGTAATTCTTTTCTGTGTCTGTTGACTTGTTTATCACCTCTCCCCCCACCACATGACAACTCCATGGGGAGAGCCTTCTGTCTATTTCACCTGTGTATTGTATCCCAGAGCCCAGCAGGGTCCTTGGCACACTGGAGATGCTCAGTACTTATTTGTCAGATGAAATAATGAACAAGCTAATTGTGTGAAGCTCAGCCAAGCCATTTCTCTCCTGGGAACCCTGGTTTTCTCATGGAAAATGAGGGATGGACAGGAGCAGACAGTTCCTGACTAGGAAGTGCAAATAGCTAATAATCATTTTGGAAAATGTTGGATTCTTAACTAGCCTCATTAATCATTAATTGGATATCACCTTTTCTCTATCATAACAGTAAAAAAATCTTTGAAAAGGAGCCAGATTCAAGCTGGTAAAGGTTTCTGAAAAACAACACGGGGATATGTATCAGGAGTCCTGCTAAAAATATTCAGACCCTTTGGTCTGGTAATTCCAATTCTTTCTTTTAAAATTTTTTTTTTTATTTCAGAGAGAGGAAGGGAGATGGAGAGAGAGGAAGGGAGAGGGAGAGAGAGATAGAAACATCAGTGATGAGACAGAATCACCCATCGGCTGTCTCCTGCACACCCCCTACTAAGGGTCGAACCTACAACCTGGGCATGTACCCTGACTGGGAATCGAATCCTGACCTCTGAGTGATGCAGGGCTGGTAACTGCATTTCTAAGAATCCATCCTAAGGGAAATAATCATAGTTGTGAGGAAAGATTTATGCACACAGATGTTCCCTGAAGCATTATTTATAACAGTGGAAAATGGAAGCAATTTAAATAAATAATATGTGGCCAGGCTGGTAAAGCACCGGGCACTTTACACATATATTTCTAATCATCATATAAGCTTGTGAGTTAGGCATTAGAACCTCTATTTTACAGATGGCACTCGGAGGTTATATGACGTGCCCAAGGTCACACAGCTAAATCTGGCAGCTGGGATTCAAACCTAGGTCTGTGTGACTGTGTTCTGTCCACTGCCTCAGGCTGCCTCTGGCAAAAGGATACTGGTTAAATGAATTATGACAATTCATATGAAGGAATGTTAAGCATTCAAATATTTTCCGAATTATTTAATGATATGATATAAGGTTAAGTGAAATAAGCAAATTATATACAAAGTCATGATCTAAAATATGAAAAAAAGTGCATACAGACATGAATGGTGAACAAATTACAACAGAATGGTTTTTCTGCTCTCCTCTAGGTTAAGAAATTATGAGTATTTTGAGGGTTTTTTTCTTTAAATTTCTATATATTCTCTAACATTCCCAAATTGAGCATTTATTGTATTTACAAACAGATGTAAAGCAATAAAAATTATAAATATGTAAAAAAGAAATCTGTAAAGGATGAGATTTTGAAGACTTCTTGACCTTGAAATTCTTCTAAAAATTTCCAGAAAAATTCCTCCCTGAGCCCCACACAGTAAGGGGAGAAATAGTGGCCTGCATGGGTGCCATGGGGCAGGAGGCCCTATTTTGTGGCTCTGACTCTCAGCCAGACAGTGTGGGGTACTCCTATTTGTCCCAACACTCTGAACAAAGCCCTCAGGCATGGCCTTTCTCAGTTTCAACTTTCCAGGGGCCTCCTCTGAGGTTTTGGTTTAGGGTTAGAAGGACTGGCTCAGTCACTGTGGTGGAGACTGAGATACCTGGACCCAGGAAGTGATGAAGCAGCAAGTGCTGGCTGCAGCCATCAGCTCTGCCCAGCCTGGGAGATTACAAAGGTCTCTCAGGCACCTTCCGCCCTTCCCATCAATAGAATCTCTTACTGCAGGTCCTTGCTCTTGCAGGAACACCATCCTATGGAAAGCAGGTTACAAACACAGTGAACCAGCAAACGCTGACTTCTAAGCACTCCTGCATTTCCCATTTCCCATCGCAGCGGTCGGCGTTTTGGCTGCTCAGGGGTGTGTCTCAGCACCAATTTTACTTTTTAGTCTGAAAACCAGAAAGCTCAAAACCAAACCTAAAATTCTTTCTTTCTCTCTCCTTTCATGTCCCTACAATTTTGTTTTAATAAACAAGATCTCTATTTCCTTAGTTTGGTCACTTGTCATGTTTTATAAAAACTCCAAAATCCTTTGGAAAAGAGGGTGGGGAATGACTGCTGATTGAATGGTGATGAATGAGAATTGTAATCGCCATGTTCTCGGCACCTTTTCTGTTTGTTTGTTAATCCTCACCTGAGATATTTTTTCCACTGATTTTTTTTGAAAGAGTGGGAGGAAGGGAGGGGGAGAGAGAGAGAGAGGAAGAAAGAGGGAGAGGGAAGGGGAGAGACATCAATGTGAGAGAGCCCCCTACATGAGCCCCAACTGGAGCTGGGGATCAAACCTGCAACCCAGGTATGTGCCCTTGACTGGGAATCGAACCCAGGACCCTTTGGTGCGTGGGCTGATGCTCTAACCACTGAGCCACACCAGCTAGGGCTTGGCACCTTTTTCACATCTCCCTGCTCTCCTCCTTCCAGTGGTGGCCCTACAGACAAGTGACTGTTGGTTAGGCTCAGGCAAAAGTCAGGAACTCTGGTGTTTAGGTTTGCTCTGTTTCCGTTTCCTCACCTTTCTCCCGTTTCCCCCAGCCATAGCTTAATCACAAGTTAATGGAGCCGAAAGTTGAACAATATAGGAATCTTTTCAGGGTGGATTTTTCTGCCTTTCCCCCGGCTGCTCTGAGATCACTATCAGTGCTGCATCTGTTGGCTAAATCAAATCTTTCAGAGGTAATACATGATCACGGCTGCTAGAATTCGTCTATGACAACCCAATTGTGGAGGGGACCTGGGAGAGGCCCGGCACACAGGCATCCTTTCTCAAGGTTATTCCTTTATGGAGGATGGTTTCTTTGTGTGTGCTACACAAAGGGAATGAAGTGTTGAGGAATCTTATCAGGCACTTCCTCCTTCCTAGGCACATGGACTCGACCTCTTTAAAGCAGCCTCTTCAGAGGGGTGCAGAGCAGATAGGCTGGGGCTGACTGGATGAGTAGGGTTTCCTTTGGTTGGGGGCTGGGAGTACTTGTCTTCCTAATAAAGGTACTCAAGGGCTTGCAAACCGGCTTGGTGAGGCTCTGTAATAAGCTCTTACAACAAGCAAGCAGAAGCTGTGGGGCAATGAGGCTAGGCTTCGGGGAGTCCCATGCTCCATCTCTCAGGAGTGGGATGGAAGCTTCATTTTCAAAGACTACAAGAGAACTTTTACCCCCACTGGGCTGTTGACAGGTGATGGACAGATTGGGAAACAGAAACACAGAGAGGAGACATTTGCTCAGACAGAGGTAGTTCTGAGGTCAGGACTCAGGAGGCCCAGAACCTACCAGAACCTGCAGCTGAACTGCTTTGGGATAGGAGTTATAGAGGTTTCCCTCCATTTTTCTTGGGTCCCAAGAGAAGGCTCTATAATGGGACAGAAGCTGATAGGAAGAAGGAAGTGACCTGTGTCCACACAGAGGAGAGCTGCTCTCTGGATCCAGGAGAACAAGGCAAGTACAGCAAGAGGCAGTTCAGTCAGACCCGAGGCTCTCAGCCTTGGCAATTTGCCTGCCCCTCACCCCACCCAGGAAACATTTATGGTTTTCAGAACTTAGGGGCGGGGTGTTGCTACTGGCATCTTGTGGGCAGAGGCCAGGGATACTGCTAAACATCCTAAAATGTACAACAAAGCATTATCCAGCCCCAGATGTCAATAGTGGTGAGGCTGTGGAACCCTGAGTTAGATGAACTTTGTGAGTGCTGGGGGCTCAATCACTGGGTCAGTGTGCCAAGAGAAAGGAGTGAAATCTTTTTAATATATAGGACAGACATCAGCTCAAGGGCAGAACCACTTGCTCTGTGCCAGGCACTGTGCCACGCTGAGACTGCAGAGACAGATAAGCCAGACGCTCCTGTCCTCAAGGAGCCCAGGCTCATGCAGACTCTGAGGAGACCAGCCTGGGGGGATTGGCTGCCAGGTACTCTCAGAACCCCCACTTCTATGCAGCACTACTGCCTTCCAGTCTCTAAAACATGACATGCATTAAAGACAGTAAAGCAAATAATCATCAATATTGGATGGGCTGAGATTAGCGACAGAGAAGAGGGAGTCCCTTCCAGATTAATAATGCATTGAGGACTCCTTCAGAGAAGGGATAAATTATGCAGGGCATGGCTGCTCAGGCACAGGAGGGGAACAATAGCTCTTTAAATTTGGGGGTCGGTTGGATCTCTATGGCAGGGACTTGCCCTGCGGCCTTGCTTCCTGTCCCAGATAGGATCCTGCCTTGGCTTCCCAGCAGGGATGGGAGTTTCTGGTGCTGTCCCCCAACCATGGAATAGCCTGAGCTAGCTACTCAGTCCCCTGACCAGTCATGTGGGACCTCTGTGTTTAGAACTTTGGAGCTCTCACCCTCCCTCCAGCCCAGATGCTACCTCCTCTAGGAAGCCTTCCCTAACCAGCATAGCAGTCTCCAGTGGTGCTTTCTGCACACAGCCCTGGGTCACAGTGACTTGAACACGATGTGGACCAGCCATATATATTTCATTGATTCTAAAATGCACTTTCTCCCACATTTTCCCATCTCTGATATTGAGTGTGCTACACAATCAATGGTCCAACATGGTTCCATTTACAGTTTTTTCCTTTTTCAGTAGTCCATAAAATAAAGCTGTACCTCACTACTGGTTTTGAAGAAATATGGTAGCAGGTGCTCAGTGTGTGTGACTGCTTCAGACCTGAGTACCTGAGGGCTGGACTAGTGATGAGGGACCCTCTATTTCCTCCTTGCAGTCCAGCCCTGCAGGCACTCAGTGTGCTGAATGAATGACTGAGTAAATGAGTGCTCAGCTCATATACAGGCCAACTCTGTTGGCTCTAAGGCCCCCTACAACAGTCTCCTTCCCAGCTCTCTGCCCTTGTAGGCAGCACCACCCCAACTGCTCAGCTCCAGGGACTGAGGACTGAGGACAGATTTCATCTAAGCCATAACACCCCCTAAGATGCTTCTGCTTGCACTGGCCAGAGGCTATTGGTGATTTGTGGAGAATCAAAAGCTGGAAATGAAGAGGGACCAAGGCTAAGTCCTGGCTGTCCCAGAGACAGGGGTGCAAAAGGCAGCGCACACACTGCCCCGAGCAGCCAGTCCTCCCCTGAGCTGTCCTGCAGGCCCAAAGGGAGAAGGAAGACTCTTCCTGCCCTTTACCACCCAGATAAGAGGCAGCTACATAAAGGGCTGTGGAGAAGTTTGTCTGGGGCTGTCAGCTTTGTTTATAACCAGAGGGTGGTGCCTGCTGGTGTGAGGCAGGAAGTGAAGGGAGCTGGGAGAGGTGGCCCAGGGCAGCTCTGCTTCCTAGATTCAAGCTCCTCTAGAAGCAGGGTGGGGCCAGCTTCAGCCCAGGTGTCTCCAAGCCTCAAAGGACAGTGCAAGGAGAGGCTGGCTCTAAGCCAAGGCCCTAATGAAGGGCCTGCCCTCTGTCCCTCCTGTTCTTCCACCCCAGCTAAGGCCTGCTGGGATTGCCCTCTCTAGGCCCAGGGGAGCCACACTGATTTTTACAGTCCTGTCTAGTACCGGCCCTCTGTGGCTCCTGCTTCTGCCCTGGCAGGCCTGTCTCTGGGCACCTTGGGGTTGGGGAAGCGTTTGGTTAAATGCAGTGTGGAGGAAATACTCTCCAGGACAATGCCCCCAGAGCCTGTGGCACCCAGAGCCAGCCATCTCAGGCCACTAGGACTGTGTGACTTGACTCCACCCCCACCACACTCCGAAGAAGGTCACCAGGCTCCCTCTTGCTCCTGGGTGTGGGGTCTCAGGTTAGCCCATTTTTAATGCTGACAGCCTAGTATGGTGGACAGAGGCAGGTGACCTGGGTCCTGGTCCTGACAGTCTGCGTGGCCTGGGCTTTCCTTTCTTTTCATCCAAGTGGTCAGCAAGGATGGTTGCTGAGGTCCCAGGCCTTTCACTATCCTGCCTAGATGACCAGGCTGGAGGTGGGGGCCTGTGCCCTGAGAAGCCCTCTCTCCACTAGTGCCCACCTCACCCCTCACCCCAGTTTGTACCTGATGCTGTTGTCGGCATCACAGGGGCAGGGCAAGGTGCAGCCTGGGCCGTGCAGGCCCTCGGGGCACAGCCGCTCCTGGCAGCGTGGGCCTTTGTAGCCAGGCTCACACTCACAGGCACCGGTGGTGGGTGAGCACTGACCCCCATTGTGGCAGTCGCAGCGCTGTGAGCACTGGAAGCCGAAAGTCCCGAAGGGGCATTCCTCTTGGCACCTGTGGGACAGCAGAACAGGGTTGAGGCTGTGCCCCTCACCTGCCCTTCCAGATCCATCCAGCACACAGCCCCCAGCCTCTAGGACTAGACCTGGTGTGCCACACCCCTCACAGCCTCCTCCCCCTTCCCTCTCTTCCACAAAGTATTCAGCAGCAGTCACCCCAGTCAGTGTCCCCTTCATGCCAGGTCCCCTCAGTCTCCAAGCACTGAGTTTGTGCCATCAGATTTCATTGATTGTAGGCCTTATGTTTTTTCTTTTTTTTTTTTTATTGCAATAAAATATATGTCATAAAATTTACTTTAACCATTTTAAGTGTACAGTTTAGTGGCATTATGTCCATTCATATTATTGTGCATCCATTACCACCATCCATCTCCAGAAAATTTTCCTCTTCCCAAAGTGAAACTTCTATATTCATTAAACACTAAACCTTACCTTTGAAAACTGTACTTCAACATCTCTGAAATCAGTGGCCTTAAAACTGATGGCATGTCACAGTGCAATTATCAGTGTTTTTCATTCTTAGCAGCATATAAAATAATAATGCATCTTAAAATCGGTGGCATCTTCGATTTGATGAAATGGGGTAATTTCACTTCTATTCGCTGTCTCTGCTGTTCTGAGTCTTTTGGGCAGGTGTATAGTTTCCCTATTTCACATTGGTAAGGGTCCTCTGCCAGCGTGGACTCTCCCCATGAGTACAAGAGGCAGCCTCTTTCATCAGACTAGAGAATTCCCCTCCCCCATCAGACTGGAGAATTCATCTTCCTTGGTCTGGGGGTCCCCTCAAGGCAGGGGCTGAGCCTCTCCCATTAGCTGGCAAGCCCCTGCCTGCAAAAACACTGGGCTCTCTCTGTGTCCTGCCTCTGCTCAGTCTGGTACTTGGAACTCCCAGCATAATGGTAGTTATTTGACAGACTCACAGCCACTGGTTGCAGATTCTCTGCAGGAGGGTGTGACCCCTGCCGCTGATGGCCGAAACCCCTGCACATGCCCCACGCTCCTCACCCCATCCCAGGGCTACTGCCCAGGGGATGCAAATTTATTGTTGGCTCCTGACAAGTTAAGGGGTAAACCTGGGGGCCTGTGGAATAAAAGAGGTGGGAGACCCCTAAGTCCTAGAGATGAGCAGAAATGGCCTCTGGGGTTTTGGATTATTCTTGTCCTAGCACTGCTTTGATGGTGCAGAGAATAGAGAACCTACGGCCCTGACATCTGCTTCCTCATCATAAAATGTGATAAGAACTGAACCTCACCAGGTTCTTTGAGGATTAATTGAGGTAATGTGTGTAAACGTTTAGAAAGGTATCCCATGCATGGTAAGGGCTCAGTAGGAAATGTTATTTCCTCTTCTTATTATTGTAAATATTGTTTTTTGTAGTTCTCATAACAGAGCTCATATGACTTTCTACCTCAGATTCTGGCGTAAAAAAAGCTCAAAGGGAAGAATTTTAAAATATTAACAATGGAGTGGACTTGGGGGATTACAAGTGTTTTAATTCTCATGTTCCCCTGTTTTCCAGGTTTTCTACAATAATCTGGAGAGGGAAGGGTAGCAATAAAAAATGTTTAAAAATACAGTCCTAGTTTATTAATCTTGGAGAGTCCTAAGTTGGAACCAGTGTTCTCCACAACAGGGCCAGGAGACCTGTGTCTGGGTGACCTGTTGCCTATTGTGAGGGTGAGTGGCCAGACCCCAGTGATGCAGTAGAGCGAACCAGCAAGTGCCTGCTGGACGGGGCAGCCAGTGTGTTGGGCACAAGTCTTGGCAACTCCACAGTGGGGTGTCTCTGTCTGTCTCTGTCCTTGTTGCCTTGAGCCCACAATGACAGGGAGAGGAGATGGTAACTGGGGTCAAGCCTTCAGGACTTCCCTCACAGGAAGATGCCACCCATTCTCTCCTCTCAAAGCCACTGTGGCAAAGGTGGACTGTGGCAGAATGGAGGGGGCAACAGGGGTAATGATGACTACAGCCCCAGGCACCAGGTAGAGAGGGGCTTCCAGCTGCTCAGGCCCCAAACCTATCCCCAGGCCCCCAATGCAGCAGATCTTCCCATCACCCTCACTTTGGAGTTGAGGAGGCTGAGATGCAGACAGGTGGGTGACTATTCCAACCTCATAAAGCCAGCAAGTGGCTGAGATGATCCCAGCTCATCTTCCTACAAATCTTGCTGCATTTTAGACAGTCTGAGGCCTTATGAAGGAAAAGAGAAGAGAAAAAAGAGGACGAGGAAGAAAGAAGGGGATGTCTGGAGAAGGAATGGGAGGTGGAAGACAGGCAGGAGGTGGGGAGGCAGGATGCAGGAGGCAAGGAGAGAAACTGAGGCAAAAGGGGAGGACAGAGCTTTGAAGAGCTGAAAAAAACACTTTCTGAATTGCCAGCCCCTGTTCAGCCTCAGAATGGATTTTTCCAGGAGTCACTAAGCTTGGTTTGCTCAGATGTTGCAGACATCAGGGGAAGAAACCCAAGCCAGGAGATACCTCCTGATGCCTCATCCCTTTCATGGGAACATTCCTGCTCCCTCCCATCAGCAGGACAAGGCAGATCCCAGGACAGAGCTTCCTCTGAAGGGCACGTCCCACCCTGCCATGTTTATGAAGTGACTGACTCCACGGCCCCAGAAAAAGAATCTGGAAATGAAATATTGACAACCTAATCCATTTACATAATCAGCTTCTTTTTTTTTTCCTACTCACAATTTAAATAACTTATTTATTTAGAGATCAAGCAACGACTGCTAATGAATTTTACACAAAGCACGCTAATAACGGGGCCTGTGGAACAGAAGGGTAATCACAGCAGGAATTAGTTTTCTACTTAAACATCCTTCCTTTGCAACATATCAATCTAATGTGTCTGATATTGCCATTAACAACCAGATACATTGCTCAATTAAATTACAAAATGAGCTGCAAAGCCCTCGTTACGTTTCGTGTTTAATTTGCACTGGATTCTGCCTATCCGGGGAGACCTGCATTATTACACCCACTCAATTTTAATATGCTCGTGATGATTTGGGGTGGGTTAATGCAGCTGTCACCCACAAAATTCATGGAGGCAATTTCACAAAATATTAAACACCAGGCAGCCCGTTGAGGTGGGAAGCCCAAATGTTACCCAGCCCTTCTACTGATTGGTGAAGTTTGCTAGAGGACTCTGAGGTTTTTGGGATTTCTCTCTGTTCCAGGATCAAGGGCTGGGCCCCACCAAGAAGAGGGATTAGGGCTACTTCTCCATTTGGGACATCTTGGCATTGAAAATCTAGAGTGCGAATGAGACAGGGTCTACTGGTATTGAGTCTAGCCAGTTGGAGCCCAGGGCCTGCTCCTCTCCAACAAGTGGGCTACATTCCCTATCCTGGGAAAGTGGCCTGAAACAAAGGGGTCCTGTCCTGGTTCCTGGGTCTTCCAGCTCCTATCCTTACTGGCTCATTCTGTGTGTTTCCTTATTGGGGGAGATGGTGAAGATGGGGAGGTGGGCTCAGTGCTTCAGTCCTAACTCTCCTACTTCCCCTAAAGACCCAATGTCTGGAAGAGATCAGGGAAGTTCATGGAGATAAACCCGGGCTCACAAAGAGATAAGATCTGACTTGAAGACTTCAAGCTACAGGAAAGCAACCCCACGGCTAACAATGGAAAAGCTCTCTTCTGGATATCAATAAGGATTTGGGGCTGAGTCCAGTGAGAGTTGGAGGCACCAAGTTATGTCAGACAGAAGCAGGACTCATTGGTTGATTCAGCTCTGATCTCTGCTTCCTAATGTTACCTGGACAGGGGAGGCAGAGGAGTGGCAGACAAATATTCCTCTCATCCCACCTTGTCAGGGCAGAGTAACCAAATCCAGGGCCAGAGATGAAATGAGGATCCCACAGGATGGGGTATGAGAGCCTCCTCTCTACTGCCCCTCTCTCTGCTCAAAGAGAGACATGTGGGTGAGAGTGTGAGGGAGGAGGCTTGGCCTTGGTCTTGCAGGCAAATGTCCTCTTCCAGCTCTGAATCCGTTCACCACCAGACACACTGGTGGTTGTTTCACATTCTTCCACAGCGCCTGCCCTATCATCATGGCATCCTTCCTACTGTGGGAAATGTGCCCACACGGTTATTCCTTAGGTGTGTGTTTTGTGGACTATCCTCTCTGCAAGTCTGGCTCGATCCCAGGACACTGGCATCCTTGTTCAGTCTGCTTTCAGGGCATAGGCCCCCAGAGGATGCAAACTGATGTCAGTATCCATTTGGCAGAACTCACATTAGGAATAAGAAATCTACTTCTAGAAGAAATGGTGTAAAATGTGTGAACTGAGTTGGGACGCTGGGCTTCTTTGGATTATTAGTGCCGTTGCCTCCCTCCAGGAGGACAGAAAGTAGAAGAGGTAGTAGGTGCTCACCTGCTTCCCCAGGTGAGCCAATGCAAGTTCAGGGCTCAGGTCACTGGGCTGGGGAAGGGGGTACATTCAGCAGTCCAACAGTGAGGAAGGACAAGTTGACAGATCTCCCTGGCAGGACTCAGAATGCTTTCTGAGAAAGGAATGGGAAAGCTGGCAGGAGGATGCTGTGGGCTGGTAAACCTCAGCTGTTCTCTGCAAGGCTGTTGTGAAAACGAGCGATATGAACAGCAAGGACAATAGTTAACATCATTCTTACCTGTCCCCCATGTATCCTGATGTGCAGTGGCACTGCCCAGTCACGTGGTCACACTGTCCTCCATGGTGGCAAGGACAGTCCTGGCTGCAATTCTGGCCAAACGTCCCTGGTGGGCAAGGCTGGGCACACACTGCTCCCTGAAACAGAGGAGGAAAGGCATGCATAGGCGGTGCTCCTGAGATGCAATCCTAAGGCCACTCTCTCCTAGAAGTGGCACAGCTGCTACGGCCTAAGGGACCACTCCGTTCTCTCAGTGGGACTTTCTCCTCAATCACAGAGGCACAGGAAGTTGCACATCATGGCTCCAAAGCCCCATTTTAGAGATGGGCAGATAGGCCAATTTGTTTATCCCATTATTCAGCACACATTTATTGAATGCCTGTTGTATACCAGGCACTGTGTTAGACACTAAGGATATAAAAATATGAGTAAGACTCGATTCCTGCCCTCCCACTCTACTGGGAAGAGAGACAAGAAAGCTGGTAACTAAAGTATCAGGTGCAAAGTGATTTCACATTGGTGCACAATGAAGTGCTGACGGAAAAACAAAGAAGAAACTGTGATTAAACACGATGGCCTGGAAACACATTGATCTCCACTTCTTTCCCAAACTCCGCTAACACAAGAGTAAAGGGGCGAGGGGAGGTATAAACCTACAAGGACAAAAGGAATGGGAGAGGAGACCATAGAGGGCAAGAGATCTCACTGTCAGAAGATGGAAAAGCAGATGGAGGAACGTAACTGCTGAGGTTTCTGCTTTCTTGGCAATGCTAAGTACCTGCAAAGGGAGTGTGGGAAGACATCAGGTTGCTGTGTAACCTCAGAAAAGCTCACAAATCAGAGACAGCAGGAACCTCGGAGGGCTAAGGTGCAGGTGTGAAGAGACAGAGAACTATTTGAAAACTTAAAAAAGAGGAAATTAGACCCAGGTTTTTGCCCTCTTTTCAAAGAGCCAGATGGCTTCCCAAAACTGGCAGTTTAGAGAGGTTGACCCACACAGGCTTTGGACACAGGGATACCAAGCTGAGGGTGGGGGTTCCATGAGAAACAGGGATCCTGCAGAATTCTGCCTACTGAATGATCAGACCTTCTGCTCCCTTCCCCACACAGCTCCTAGAATGTGGATTCCCAGACTATATTCCTTGTGGCAGGATTCTGGAGGATTCCTTTCTGGGGACACTGAGAGCTCGAGAGGAAAGACCTACAGATACTGATACTTGAGGATCCCATCAGTCAACAAACCTGGCATCTATCCCTGCCCCCAGGCTTCCAACCAGCTTTTCCGAGGCTTATGGTAAAATACAAACAGGTGGCCAAGGAGCACCAGATATTTGAAATGAGGTTCTAATGTGAAAGGATTCTAACATGAAGACTTGTTAGAAGAAGACTCCTAACAAGAAGGCTCTAACATGAAAGAAGACCAAAGCAGACAAATAGACAGAAGGAACAGCGCAGGCGGCAAAGAAAACAGAAGAAAAAGCCTCTGGGATAACGAATGTGAATATCCTTATGCAGCTCTATGAAGAAATATGGAGGAAAATACCAGAAGAAACTAAAAGACTTGAATATGGTTGCCTTTTGGAAGTGGGATTTGTGAGTGGGGCAGGGGATGACTTTCCCCTCCCTCCAGTATTTAGCCTTGTGGTATTAGATAACTTTTTAAATTATAATATGAATCTTAGATCTTTATCAAATGGAAATTATAGCCTGCTCTTTTCTCTTGCTGCCCTTCCAGCCTCTCCCCTGCCAGAGGTAATTATTTCGCTTATGGAGATCAAGGATTCTCCCACAATTAATTAATCAATTAGTTCAACACACAATTATTAAGCACCGATAATTGCCAACCCTGAGGCAGCTAGTTTAGTCAGGAAAATCCTGCTGACCAGAGACATCTTTCAATATCATCCAATTTACTTGTAATGAATTAAGTGGGAGGCCTTTTAGCTCAGATGTCTCCTCCACATGTAAGTCAGACAACAAGGATCTGTGAGGGGGAAGGGAAGGGAAGGGACAGTGAGGTGAGTGTGTGTGTGAGGAGAGCAATGGGGAAAAGCTATGCTACTCAGAGGAGGGGTCCCTCTTCCTCCTGGAGATGGTAGGGGTGGTCCAGGTGTGGCAGGGGCCTGAATTTCACATTGCACCCCACAAGCGTAGGGATTCTTGAGGGAAGAGAGTTTTTCTGGCCATCCTGAGTTGTCCTCTGCAGTCCTGGGGTGGACAAGGATACTATGACCCTGAAAAAACATTTTGAGCCTTCTC